ACAATAACAATCTAGAAATAAATCAACCTTACACTATGGAGGAACTCCTCTACGTAATCCAAAACAGGAAAAAGGGCACAGCCCCAGGATTAGACCTAACTTCTTACCAAATAATTAAAAAACTCCCCCTAAAACTACTCCAGGCACTACTCAAACTATACAATCTCATCTACCTAAACGGACAGGTTCCTACTCCCTGGAAACAGGCCCTAGTCATACCAATCCCTAAACCTAATAAACCAGCTAATCAAGCTAACTCATATAGGCCAATATCCCTAACTTCAAACTTATGTAAAGTAATGGAATCAATGGCTAAAAATAGATTACAACATTACTTAACCCAAAATAACATCATAAACCCAGATCAAAGCGGTTTCACTCCTGGCCGCTCAACCCTAGATAACCTCGCCCGATTAGAACAAGATATTAAGACAGGACAACTAAATAAACAATATACCACAGGCATCTTCTTAGACTTCTCTAAAGCTTTCGACATGGTATGGCACGATGGGCTAATACAAAAACTTTAAAAAATAGGACTCAAAGGTCAGATAATAATAAACTACATCCAGGACTTCCTAAACAATCGTAAAATAACCGTGGGTATAGACCAAACTCTATCGGACCAATGTCCCCTAGAAAATGGTACTCCACAGGGCAGTATCCTCAGCCCCACCCTCTTCAATATAATGATAAACGATCTATTCGAGGGCCTATCCCCTAAAGTAAACACATCAAAATTCGCGGATGATGGAGCCATCTGGATCCGCACTAAAAGCATGAACATGGTCCAAAATCTACTCCAAAACTCTCTTAATAAAATACAACAATGGGCTGACAAATGGGGCTTCTCCCTTAACTCAGAAAAAACAACAGGAATAGTATTCAAACATAAAAACATGAAACCCGCCTCCCCAATCCTCCAGCTAAACAATCAAACAATCAAATTTCAAAAACAAACCAAATTCTAAGGACTTATTTTCGATGAACATCTCACCTGGGATGCTCACATCCAAAACCTAACAACTAAATGCAGTAAAGACCTAAACACCCTAAGATGCCTAACTGGCTCTAACTGGGGAGCATCCAAAGATACCCTCCTCTCTCTCTACATATCACTAATTAGATCAAAACTAGACTACGGCTGCGCCATATACAACACCCTAAACAACTCTCTATCTAAAAAACTTGACTCAATACAATATCAGGCTCTCAAACTAATTACACGCACCCAACATGGCACCTCCTACACCTCACTTCAGGCCTTAACAGGAGAAATGCCACTAAGTCTACGCAGGGAACAGCTAAGCTTAAATTTCTGGGCCGCGTCCCAATCAAACCCTCTCATCCAAAACTTAATAAACCAAAACATCAGCCCTAAAAACCAAGCTCTAGCTCGCAAACACCCCTTACTTACCCCAATATCCCAAAGAATAACAAACTACCTAAATGAACACCAAATTAAAAATCTTAAACAAAACTGCAAACAATCAAATATCTTCACCCCTAAACTTAAAATACCCAAAATAGACACAACACTAGCTAGCCAAATAAATAAACAAACCGACCCAAACATAGCTAAAACTACCACACTAGCATACATACACGAAAATTGGCCAAATTGGTGTCACATTTACACGGACGGATCCTCAGATCCGACCTCCAAACACACAGGTTTCGGAGTCCATACCACACAACCAACTAAAACCACACGATCCTTCCGACTCCCAAACAACCAATCAATATTCACGGCAGAACTAATGGGCATGGCCTCAGCCCTCCATAATCAAGAATCCAAAAAACACAAAAATATCCTAATACTTACCGACTCCCTAAGTGGACTGCAAGCCCTCCAAAACAAAAATACCCAAAACCGACCTAAATTAATAAATCAAATACTTAAAAGCTCCAACGACCTAACTAAGGCAGGCAAACAAATAACCTTCTTGTGGATACCCGCCCACGTAGGAATATACGGTAAAGAAAACGCCGATAAAGCAGCTAAACTATCCCTCAAAATCCCAGAAATAAGCTTAAACTTACCCATCTCAAAATCAGAAATTAAAAGTGTAAACAAGCAAAAACTCACAAAAAAATGGCATAACCTATATCTAAACTCAAATAGCCAAATCAAAAAAGTGCTCAGCAAACCACTAACCAAACCCAAAATTCTCCATCCATCGAAAAAAATCGACAGAGTAATCACTAAACTCCAAACAGGACACACCAACCTAAATAACCACCTAAAAAAAATTAAAAAACACACTACAGGTAACTGCCCACACTGCAAACAACCAGAAACCCCAGAACACGCACTCATCCACTGCACACACTACCTAACACATCGAACCGCATTACAAACCACCCTCAATCTAAACAAGGCTCTAACTCTAGAAGCAATACTAAACCCACAAAATAAACTAGAAAACTTCAAGGCCTTAGGCGTATTCTTAATAAAAACGGAACTAACAAAACGCATCTAAAAACACAATAACCTACCAAATCAAAATCACATAAACAAACAAACATCCACCATACCCAGCTCCCTTAGTTCTCCTCCCCAATCCCATCGGCATCTATTCCAAATCTCAAAATTCCCAAATTCTATATAAGCAACCCCTAAAACCCCCCTCTTGGGTTGCACAGACCACCTTCGCCCCTTTCGGAAACACATTAAATGGCCTGGCCGGGCCCGTGTGCGAAATACGCATCAGTCGGAAAGCGCACGTTAAATCTCCTAAGTAAGTAAGTAAGTAAGTAAGAAACAGTATTCCACTGTGACAAATGCACAGGTCGATATACAATTTTTTTCCATTTCCAAGATGAATCGGCACTTGGGTTTTGCCCGGATAAGTTCACGATGAAGACCAGACGTCAAACTTCCATCCATTGGGACCCGTGAAGATTCCGGGGTAGAATAGGTCTTCAGCAACACATGCTTGCCGCAAAAGGCGACTATGCTTGTCGTAAAAGGCGACTAACGGGATCGGGTGGTCAGGATCGCTGACTTGGTTGATCAATTGCGTGGATCGATGCTCATGATATTAATCACTGGATTGTCTGGTCCAGACTCTATTATTTACAGACCACCGTCATATAGCTGGAATATTGCTGAGTGCGGTGTAAAACAACAACAAACCAACCAACCAATCCATCCATTGGAAATGTTCAAAAGAGGATACCCACCGTCATTAACACCACAGATGACTTTGTCACGAAGCACTTTTATTTGTCTCTGAGCAGTGGGACGACGCCACAAATCATCACGAGGGGTGGGATGAAAATATGTACAAGTCCGTTGAGATACTGAAGGTTGAGCTGGACAAAACTGCGATCCTAATCCAGGTAGTTTGATGTCACCCAAGAAGAAGTAACGAAACCTAGACTATGCCCTTGAGAGGGAGAAGAGACAACTACTTACTTACCAGAAACCATAGAACAATTATCACAATTCTGTCTTACATCTCGTTGGCCTGTGAATTATATGAATGAAATGTCAAATGTGACGGATGTTTATTGCTTAAACTTACGATGGGGATTATACCTGAGTCAGTGAGTTGGGTTTAACGCCTCTTTTAAAAGTATTCCAGTTATATCGCGGCGTGCCAGCTTAATGTGGGAGGAAAGGCCGAAGTGATGCAGGTCTCAGCGAATCGAGGCGCCTTAGACGACTGGACCACCCGTGCCCCCGGATTATTCCTTGGTCAGCTGCTAGATAAGTAGGAAGTTCTTGTTTATGGTACCCAAACATGACTTTATTCGGAAAAGGCTGTACAGACATTAATTGTTATTTGAAATATTTACAATGTCAAGATCAAAGGTCGTTTCACACAGTAAGCAATGTATCCAATGTTAGTTTGTGGGATTAAAAGAAACAGCAACACTTTTAGAATGACCGCTTCCTGTCGTATCAGTATAGCTGCCAGGCATCACAAGTCAGCCAACATGGCCACTGAAAACAATTGTCACAGGGTTGGGCCGGTAGCCATAGGTCACACTCCTAAAACATTTTGTTTGGAAATCCGATTTCGGAGCGGGTGATTTCAGGACTTTCACTTTGACATTTAAATAGTTTCTCTTTCGCGCGAATTGACTTTAAATATATGGGACATTTGATACTCGCGACAAAGTCGCAATCATTTTGTTCACTTTACTTGCCGTTTAAATGAACCTCCGGATGATGTATTTATCATTATTTGATTTAAGGATACATTATTCCAAACTATACAGCGAGTTGTCGAAATAAGAATTTAAAGAAGGCAAGTAACATATTCTCTGAAAGTGAACTCTAAAAGGGTGGTATGTAGGTTGGAATAAAACATGTTTAAAGAATTTTGAAGAATTCTTGCAATACATATTTGTACTACTGAGGAGTCGAGTATGCTTCTATTTTAGGGTTCTCATTATTGGAATGTGTGATGCAATGTTTTCGTCTACGGAACAATACTGTATTTTTGAGCATATACATTAGAAAGAAAGCTGACCACTGGGTTTATGTACCAGCCATGAGGTTGAACATAGCGAATTAGGCAAGTTTTGTTTCTGTGCGATATTGTATTTTATAAAATTAGGAAACCTTGAGACATGTCAACATAGAAATATAGATAAATTATGAAATTGGTAAGGTAGGAATACAGTTCCACATTACATACAGTTTCAAATGTGATATAGACACACTTTGACATAAGATGAATGCTTCTAACCGAAATATATTATCGTATATATTAAATGCAACCTTAATAATTACCAAATCCTCGCTAATCAATCGATATGATTAACTACATGGTGTCACGAACACAGCCATCAATATTTGGAAAGTGTTGAATTGGAAATATATTCCATCTGACTCAGTACAGTTAATCTTGACACATGTGCGACAAATTGCGCGACTATCTTATCAAAGGGGAATACTCGCTGTGAGTGTCTCTAGTTTGTGAGCGTTGTTAGGAACAAGTGCGTTAACATGTAACACATGGGATGTGAAACAGAAAGCTCCTTACCTTGAATAGCAGAAAGGCGTATGACAAGGTGAAAGTGGTACGGCATAGTCAGATATTTGGATGGAAGGGATACCAAGTGTACATGAAGTTTCTAGTAGGATGTCACGTCATTGTAGCTTATATGGCATCTAGTGTCTTGCCTCTCACCGATGTGAGCCATAGTGTGGGCGGCCCGCCAGGTCTCACTGGTGTACAGCGGGGCGAGGGCGTGGGATTTGATCGTTAAGTTATTGAATCTTTTATCCCATAAGTTTCAACATGTACATTTTCTCGGCAAGTTGGATGGGTAGTTGTGTGTGTTTACGTCACACGTGATGGGAGGAGTAAGTTGACCGTAGTCACAAATAGCCCCCTAGTCCATCACAGTATAATGATACAAGCAAGGTCTGATGTAAGCTGATATAAGGTGAACGGGTTATATGTTTCCGCCAGTCGACGTGCGCCTGACCAAGATAAGTGCCTCCTTTCCACCAACAAAGCGCATGTCACACATCTGTAGCGTCGTGCTGCCAACGTGCTGTACGTCATATAGACCGACCATTCATCATTCCACCGTGGTCTATTTGTAATAGTTTTCTGAAGAATACAATATAGAAAAAAGTACATACATTTATATTTTTTAAACACTTGTTTATAATATGTTATATTTGGTCAACTTGATCTTAAAATTCCCGATACTGTTGGCTTGACCTAGTTGCGGCTTTCTACGGTAGATCCCCCTGGGGACCCGGGGTAGTATGTGTCCCCAGCACCCCATTGCTTGTTGTAAAAGGCTACCGAATTGGGCAACATATTTTTACCGTGGCATGCGTCATATTCGGTCCATTTGTTCCCCAAATTCCCGATACGTTGTTAGTTGTTCAGATTCAGTTTTAATTAAAACCTGAAATGCATGACATGTCTTGGAACGTTTGCCGCAATAATGATTTAAACAGTATTTTATTTCCATTAATGTTCAGATTTTACATTATATAGCGTTACAAAATGGAAAAAGGATTAGCAAACAGGCCCAAAAGGCCTATATTAATGCTTCTCCTAATATTGTACATCATAAATGTAGATTGTAATGAAGTCTATAGAGCAGACATGAATGAGTAACACAAAATGAAATAAAATGGAAAGCAAGATACCAAATGCATTTTATATTCTTAAGTTGACACATAACTTACGTAAAGCGGTTTGTTTCAATGATGTAATTGTGAACTGATTTTATAATGTGTTCATTGTCTGAGGAAGATGAATCTTCATTGCCGTCGAGTATAGTATGTATGCTGCGCTTGAAAGCAATCTTCTCTGTTTAGGCCACATGGACAGATGGGATTATCAATCAGAAATCTGTTAAATAAATGTGATTTTAAATCACTACAACCAAGCGCAATGTGGCTTGACCTAGTTTCGGCTACTACGTTCTTTTACGGTGGATCCCCGTGGGGACCCAGAGTAGAATTTGTCTTCAACACCCCATTGCTCGTCGTGAAAGGCGACAAAATAAGGCAAACCATTTGCCTGGGCTGCGCACCTGTGTCGATGAGGAAGGGGTTCTGGTGTTTGAGGGGGGCACTGGTTCCAGGAACTGTGTTCCTTTGCCCAACACAGTACTAGGACCCTATCTTCACCGAGACGGGTGGAAGAAGGTGTGTTGCATTTTGAATATCAAATGAAGTAAGACACCGTCCTTGTTGACACTGGGTGGCGGGTAGGGTGGGGGAGCAGGGGTGCAGAACCACACTATCTCTAGTCCATTATCTCTGGTTCATCTGATGCATCTAACCATTTTGTCCAGATTTTGTCCTTCAATCAAAAATACTTAATATAAAGCACAGGAACAATGTCTCCTTTCATGATGCTAAACAAATACTTCTACTAAAACCTACTCAGCAGCAACAACTTCCACTCCTAGTGTCAAAGTTGCTGCGGCGTCTACAGGATGCCAAACAACCATCTCTTGGGTTAGTGATCAGCAGATGCAGATTTACATTTATCGAAAAACATGCAAAAAAAAATGAAAAAACACCTTGAGGTGCCGACGTCTTCCCAGTCAACGCCTGGTTCAGGTTCAAAATCAATTTCAAAATAAATTTCTATTCGTGAGCTCCATACTACCACTGAACAAGCTCACGATGCTGCTACAGGAGCTGATAACATACATTATCAACTCCCGAAACACTTACCAGAATCATCTTTAGAAACACTATTGAATTTTTATAAAATTTGGACGTAAGGGAAATGTGCTCCTTCATGGCGTGATGCCATAGTTGTCCCAATGCCCAAACCCCAGGCGAGGTCATACTGATCCTTCAAATTACGGTCCAATTTCACTGACAAGCTACGTTTGCAAAACAATAGAACGCATGATAAGTAATCTACTAGTTTGGTACTTAGAAACAAAAATCTTCTTACTTATATACAATGTGGTTTCCGAAAGAAAACAGAAGTACCAGAGATAATTTATTTCGCTAATACTCATTTGTCAGGATCAGGATGTCCCACAAGGCAGTATCGGGTTAGTCCAACCGGTCGGGTAATCCGAAATAATCCGGATTAACGGAAGCACATGGGTAGTCGGCCGACTATAATCTAATTCTGATCAAACACGGTCACTGATAAGCTGAGTGAACACATTTTATACTGATAATAGATTAACTTATTTTTAGTGAGCGAACTTATCTAATTTGAGTGTAAGAACAATGTAGACTATTGCATAGCATAGCAATATGGCAAACGCACAGGTGCCTCTCTATATTACAAACAATCGTGGAGGACACTATTTGGTGTACTTCGCCTACAGATTTAGTTTTAAACGGAGACAGAATCCACTGGCGCTGTCGTCTGAGGGTTTAACCTCACTGTGCCCTCACCCCAAATGTTGTTATAGTGGATTATAGGGGATTAAGAGGCACAGATCACTTAATCGCTTGGTATAGTCTGTGTCATTAAAGTGAACCCTCATCTGAGGGTGAACTCTGTTCAGTGACAGAGAGACCCGAGAACCAAGCTCTTCGTTCAACGAGCTTCGAGCTCTACTCTACCACAAGTCCGACCTTGTGACATAGACGACGTTTGGCTGAATGCATTAGAAGATGCTGATCTTGAAGATGCAAGAATCCTTAAGTTTGCGGATTATGTGACAGAACAGTGGGTGGGTGGAAGCTGACAGGAGAGACGTGTGGAACCATTATGGGACCCTGGTTTCCAGGACAACCAATCACTTAGAAGGCTGGCACTCCAAGCAGAAGAAATCGGGCCCAAGTCATCCAAACATCTTTAAATTTATTGACATTATCAAGAATGAACAATCACTTAACCACGGCTGACTACACCTGTACCCTATAACAATAGTTGAGGGCAAAGTGAGGTGTTCCCCGTCTGAGATCAAGCCATTCCACATACACTCTAAAGTCGCTACATCAAAGAAGAAATGTTATCACAACGAGCGGATAATCTGTCGGCAAATCAAAGAACCGGCCACGTGGGACGACCCCGCAGCATCTTGTCTGTCACATTGTTTAGTATTAAGACTAACAGCAGCAGAAAGTTTTAAATGATTCGATTGATGGATCTCTCTTTGTGGATGATTGTAATGTTTCTTGAAGTGGCAAAAACATGAATACTATTGAACGGGCAACGTAGATCTGTAAATGATCTTGAGAAAATGGATCTAATTCTCAAAATCTAAAACAAACTGTATAAACACAAAGACCCTGAACTAATATTGGATAACACCCCTATTAATGTTGTAAAAGAAGCCAAATTCTGAGGTATTTATCACCATTTGACCTTTCTGCCGAAAAATAAATTTCTGAAGATTTATTAAAAGTTGTCTACAATTCAAAGTGGGGAGGGATTAGATGTAATGAAAAACAGCTTATGACTGCGTTTTAAATCCTCTGTGTGAAGATCTGTATAATAAAACCTGAAATTTCAGCTGCAACAACTTACCTCAATAACATGTCTCCCACACAAATGCTGTCGTCTCCTCTGTGGCAGATGGAAAAGCCACAGGTGGATCTTGAATTAACAAAACTAAAGAAATCAGAAACTAATGCATCGGCAAGAATATAATCAGCCACGAAGTACCTGTGAAGATCCGGATCTTACAATAAAAGGCAACTACGCTTGTCGTAAGAGGCGACTAACGGGATCGGGTGGTCAGGCTCGCTGACTTGGTTGATGCATATCGTTGATCCTAATTGCGTGGATCAATGCTCATGATGCCTATCACTGGATTGTCTGGTCCAGACTCGATTATTTACAGACCGCCGTCATATAGCTGGAATATTGCTGAGTGCGGCGTTAAACAACACACAAACAAACAACGAAATACCTACAATAAATGCAGACCTCCCCCGTAGGGCCCCGAGGTAGATAAGAATGTGTCCTCAGCACCCCATTGCTGGTCGTATGAGGCGACTAAATTCGGCAACCTGTTTGCCGTGGGTTGCGCCCATATCTCGGTGGAGGACGTGAGTCTGGTGGTTGAGGAGGGCACTGTAACCAGGAACAGGTGTTCCTTTTGCCAAACACACCACTTTGACCCTTACTTCACCTAGACGGATGGTAGAATTCGCCCGATTCTATCAATCGGCTGGTCATGTCCTGCCCTGTGCATGGAAAACTTGATAATGTCATTGGTGCAAATATATATACTGAACAACAAAAGTTCCTGTGACATTGAATAAGATTTAATGCAAAGTTATGTTTTTTACCAAATCTGAAACAATTTCGGTTTGCAACAGATAAAATACTCCTGTGAGTGTTCAAATGGTTTAATTGGCCATTTTGACTTCAGAAAATGCGCGATTTCACAAACAAACATGAACATGCCAAAATTTCAATTTACAAATCAATAGCGTGTGTGTCCACCTCTGGTTGCGATGCAAGCAACACATCTACGTCTCATGGAATGGACCAGGCGTCGCACAAAGTCCTGTGGGATATCTGTCCATATCTGCTGGAGCATGTTTCAAAGTTCCTGGAGCGTCTGTGGAACACGTGGTTGACGTCGGACGCCGATCCATCTCATCCCACATGTGCTCTATTGGTGAGAGATCAGGTGAGCGAGCCGGCCAGGGGATGACATTCACGTTGTTTTGTTGAAGAGACTCCTGAACAAGTCC